GATGGCCACCTGTGGGACGTTGACGCTGGCGATATTGTTGAAGCGACATCCGAGTGGTTGGTGGGGCAATGCCGGCCTGTCGGGGCTGATAGGTGACAGCACCAGCTGGCATTGGTAGCCTGGACCCCGGGCCGCCGCACGGTGAAGGGGGAGCCAGCGTTGGATATATTGCGGCCCATTGGCTCGCGTTGGAAGCTATCGGTGAGGACGCGACCGGTACATGTAACGCGCCTGTGAGCATGCGTGGTATTGCGGGGGTGTCTGGCCGTGTAGTGGCCGTCGGTGTAGCTACCGCGTTGTTCGTGGACGTTGCATTTGTCGGTGCTGGAGCGGGCGCGCCTGTGGGTGGACCGTATGGGGTTGGTAGTACTGGAGCCATGTTGGAGTCCGGGTTCGCTAAGAGGTCCACCACGTTCCGTGGGGTGGTATCGTTCAAGAAGGATGTGATGGCAGTCTGGTGGGCCAGCGTGAGCCGTATGGAAACTGCCGTTGGTGAGAATAGTCCACGGATTGCTGGCCGTTGCGTTTTCCTTGTCAGAGCGACAGGGCCGATTGGTTGGCTTGTCTGGCCCAGCGAAGCGACTGGTTGCGACGTCACTTTTGGCTGCTTCGCAGCGCCCGTACTGTCTAGTTTTCTTGGCTGGGTGAGCGTAGTCCCCTTGGCTTGGCTAACGCGCGGTGCGATGATCCGCGCGGGGGGTGACGGCGTTGTTGTCCCCGTCGGTTGCACCAGCGTCGCGGTAGCTGGGCGCCCAACGCCTGGCAGCGGCTGGTTGAGTTGGGACTCGATGATACTAAACATGACCTCTGCTAATTTGTCGCGCACCTTCTCCGACGTGTGACAGTCCAAATTGTCCACAAGCAGGACCGACGCGTCTTTTCGAGGTAAATCATCCAAACCCTATCGTCCATCCTTGATTTTTTGGACGACGTAAACGTGCGGCGAGGGATAGCACGGAAGTTCGTTGGTTTCACCAGAACTGTCTGGTTGCCCCATTACGATGAAGAGCAAAGGAAGCTTGACACGTACTCAACCATCAGCAAGGTGAGATCAACTCCACCACATACCATCCGCTCGAATGGTCAGGACGACAGTGATCCTCTCGGAGTCCTTGCTCGATTTGCCAACCTTCGATGACTTTCCCACCTCAGCGTACGTCTTGCGAGGTACATGTCGAAGTAGACACCTGTTTCATCCGTACTGAGAATATGCGCGTCCGGGAGATCAGAGTACTTCTACCAAACGTGCGCAGCGTAGCCAAGCCAGACATGGTCGAGAACTTCTTGCCGATCTTTGGATACGCTTGGACGTCGTTGGGACAGGCGATGGCGGGTGCAGATGTGCCGAAGAAGTCTGCTGAGGGAGTCGTATCACGTTGATTTGGTCGACTTCAATTCGAGGTACGCGGTGAGCCACTCGAAGTAATTACGTTGGATCCACCGCATCAGGTGGAAGACACGAACACGCATTTTCCCACGTCAGTGTTCTGGTATGTACGCGAGGAGGTCGTGGGCAAACGGAAGGATCGGTTTACCTCCCTGGCCACCCAGGGACCCACGACTGCCTTGACGTTTGGTCGACAAGATGGCCGACTCCTTTTGACGCCATCCTCGCCAGGTCCCCTGGGTTATCGAATGCTCACGGCAAAACGTGACTTTTTCCTTCCTGGTCCCGTCTCTGAATGCGGTGAGAAGTCTCTTGCGGTCGCGGATGTTGTAGCGTCGGTATTGGCCTTGATTTGCGCCAGACGTCATTTTGAAATGGCATATATGCCTGCGAATGTTAAAATTCAAATGCGCCAATCTTTTGGTCATCGCTCTTTTGGTCATCGCTCTTTTGGTTGTGACACATGCTACAGTAGTGATTCCTTGGTATTTTCGCCAATAAAGTTTCCATCTCACTTCGGTACTTTTTGAAAATTTATTTTATGACGAGATGCAACTCTCCGCGAATTTCGCTGTCCAGCACTGTAATATGCGCATACGAAGATACCTTTATCCCTGAGAAAAGATTTGTAACTGGCAAAACTGAATTGTTTGGAAAATATTCCTATTATTTGCCCATTTCGCCTAACGTCGATGCCAGTTTATGGTGCTTGGGACAGTTTAAGTGCACTCAAATTGGCCAATGGAGTTGCTTGAATTCAGGAATAGCCAATCCATTCGCTATAAATACCATAGAATACTCAAAAATACGCATACATATTTTAAGCTTAATCCGTGCACCATAAATCGTCCCTCCTATCTTGCCTTGATTTATTACATGCTACTTGGTATTAATACTTGAAATATATTTTCCTACATCCGCACGAAAATGATTGATTTGGCTTTTCGTGTTTTGAACCAGAGTACTTCGACCAAAATACGTTTTTGCCTGGACTATAGATATACTTCCAAATTGATAATTTCATTAGGAACCTGATTTCACTCATTAGAAGGTCCTAATTAGAATATCCTTGAAGTTATGGGAGAAGTGTGTGGAATGATGATCATTTTCACTGTTGTTTCCTCATAATTTTTATATAGCTAACGTTATATATGATTTGTAGTAGAATTATCCATAACGTTACACAAAGGTCGAGGTGAAAATAGGTGGAACAGTAAAAATTCAGTACCTTTAGAAACGGTTAAAAATTGTACGTTAGTTCTTTCAATCACTTCCGTACGGAGGTAGCACTTCGAAGTAAATGAAAGCTAACGATTCAAGCCGATTAAATAATATAGAAGAATGCCCATCCTTTCAGCTTCATGGAGCACTTTTCATAATTGAAATCCCGGTCCTGAGAGACGAATATGCTGCTTTTTACGAGGAGGTCAAGTGCACCATAAATTGTCCATTTACGTTAACGCTATATATTTCCTACGACTTATGTCAGGTGCCATGGGAGCAACTTTGCCATTTATATCGAAAATGACTTTTAACCAATCACGCGATTTCAGATTGCCAATGCGAGCAGAACTCAGTGAGCAGGGCCCTAGGGAGGGAACACTTCGCCCTTACGGTCCTGGAAAAGAAAATACTTCACAACCTCGACGCCATTTTCCCCCACTACGCTACAGATTTCTTGAGTAATCTCCACCGTTGCACGACTTTGTCGAACGCCAACCTGTTTTGAGGGGGTGAATGAGGAAATATGTGTAGCTGTTTAGGATCGTTGGCAATGTATGGCGCGGGTTGTTGGTGTACGAGAAAGAGTTTGAATGGACGGTGATGGACATAGCGGACCCCGCCTGGGAGATGTTGGAGACGAGGATTTTGAAAAGTTACATTCAATGAGGACAGATTTAGGGTAGCTACGGGGTAGGTGGTGCGAGTTGACGTACGGATCGTCTTTAACAGACTGTATTGTTTACGTCGAAATTCTCGACTTCCTCGGCAAATTGAGTCAACGCTTTGAAGATTTCCGCGCCGCGGGTACGGATGGTTGACACATTGGCGTAAAAATTAGTACCAGCCACTTCGATGGTCAACACGGGCTTCTGGTACGTGCGGTAGACGTAGTCATCGAACGCTCCGTAAGCAGGATAGAAAGCAGCTGCCGTTTGGGGTATGTACTTGCCACCGGTTGCGGCGGCAACTTTGCGGCCAAGTCGTTCAAACTTGGCGTCTTCGCCGTTGCCGATGGGTTCTAAGATGTCGCCATAAGGGTACAAGATCAACCCCCCGATGGAATGCACGTCCACCCAGCCGGCAAGTTCAGAATTCTTGGTATGGAGCCAATGTCCAATTCCCCTAGTTTCCGGCTCGCTCCCCGGTTGTGTTCCAGGGTAAGTTTGGGCCGAGGGGGGTACGGGTTCGGAGTTTTTAAAGGGAGTTGGCCAGTTGCGGTTCAGGTCGACGTCGTTGGCATTCTTACGCTGCAAACGCTGGCCGTTCTTCCACGAGATGTCGTACCCATCAATGTTCACGATCGGCACAAAGTACAAGTTGTACTTGTCCGCCGCCGTGGGTTTCTTGTTGGCAATGTCGTCCAGAATCGAAGACAACGCAAACAAGTTGGACGACCCGGCGATCCATTCCCGGGCATGGGCCAGACTTTGGAAGTACAACGACTGGGGCTTGGACCCGCCGCTGGTCAGTTTGTACGCATAGATATTCTTGCCTTGGACCGTGGTCGAAATCGCTTCTTTTTTCAACAAAGTTGGGTTCTGTTCCGTCAACGCATCCACGTACTCGAAGATTTGCTCCGACGTGCGGAAACAATTGTAGAATTTGCTGGCCGCGTACTCGCCTGCTTTCAACGTCTTGATGTACCCGTCGTTGGCCGTGTGGCACTTGCGGTTGACGTTCGCGTCGTTGTGGATCGCTTGGGCGCGTACGATGGCTTCCTCCAAGTTAAATGCTGCAGCCGACGAGGCAAGCGCGAGAATGGCAATGGTCTTCATGAAGCAAATTCAACAATGACTGCAAGGTTTGGGGGAGCTCGTGTTTTCTTTTGCATTCAGATTGGGAGACAAGTACATATATGTAACGTTATAGTACTACAATGCCGGTACTAGTACTATTATAGTGCACCTCATGAGATAAATTTATCAGTATTATTATATTTACTACGTTTAAAGTGTTTAAACTTGTGTAAAATAAAATGCAAAAGCAATAATCGCACTATGATCAGAAATGATGGGCGGTCAAATCAGTGGAATCAGAAGCTTGGTTTTCGACAAATGAAGATTTGATTGGTTCATATCCAGGAAAATATGACCAATGAGCTTCTATCGTCTGGGATTGTGGGTCCTTCAACGAAGCGTAATAAGTGGTTGTAGAAAAATCCCTATTAATGTCGTTCGTGCACACTTGGCTGGGCGATGATTATCGGTAAAAGGAAAACAATTTTTACATATAAGACTGTAGTTATGATACCGTAGCAACCTCTGCTATAAAAAAGACTATCCACATCATTTACTAGTAATTATTAGACGTAAACGTAAAAAACGGTGTATATATATATACATACTACAGTATGTATTGACAGTGAACGTTAGTATTTCTAATTTTACACTTTGACAATGAGACAGCACAGCAAAAGGGTGCGCATGACCATGGTTCTGGGACATGCTATAAGAATAATAGTAGTATTGGAAAACATGTGTCTAGATGTTTTGGGATGCAGATACTATTGCCTACGTAATTATTTCACTTGTTCTTATTATATGATAGTCAAATGCCGTGTAAACCAAACCCTCACATTACAAATACACTTCGACAAAGGTCGAAAATTGGAGGAGTCCCTAATTGTTCGGCGCGCACTGTATTATCGAGGCAGCGATTTCTAGCTAGGGGTGCAGTTCATTTCTGTGGTTGGCGAAAGCGAACCATTGGTGATGCAACTTATACTGTCAACCCCGGGCATAATGACACAAGACTTCTGGAGTTCCGAGGTTACAGGGCGACTGGTTCTTTTGACTGGAAATGATTACGTACTACGTAGTACTACGTAGTAAGCAACTGTGGAACCTTGCTCCCACAGGTCATCCATCTGTCGACTTTGCAGCCTGGTTGGAACTACCGTATGGTGTACATACAGTACTATTAATACATAGTTCCCATTTTAAATGCCCGAGTTTGAAGGGGGCAACATGACTGATCATTATATTCTAAAGATAAATTTAAATTTGAATGTCGCCTGTCCAGCGTTGAATACACCGCTCTGATTGAACCACGTGTAAGAGTGCGCCGAAAGCTATACGTTGCTTGTGCGTCATCCATTGTATCAATCGAGTAAGCTTATTGCTTTTCTACACCTCTGAATACTTATGACCTTTTCAACCGGTAGGTTGAAAGTTCTTGAGCGTCCTTCTTGCACTTTCTTTTGACGTAGAATTTTATTACCTCTTAAAATGATTAAATTTTTGAAAGCGGTCTGTGATAGGCTGCATTAACTTTCAAATATCGAAGCACCATGACCAATCAGATTGTAGAATTCACCGTCTAACTCGAAGACAAGGTGGGCGTTTGTGTCAGAGGCAGTTCGAACGGAATATCAAAAATTGTTGTCTTGCACGAATGCGTAAGTAAAATTCGGATATTCATCCACCGCGGGAAATGACTATGCAAAGCGATGGTACTCACGCAGCTGGAGTTGTCCTTGCAAGCAGCGTTTCGCCAGGCATTCGAGATAAAATACGTGCTTTGACTACCTCTGATGCTATCTGACGCATGTGCGGCGGCTCGACGGCGTCGACTCGGACCTATGCAATTGAAGATCGAATTCTGTCTAGGATGTTATAGGGAGACGGCGAGGATCAAAAGAACGACACAGCGACGTCATTTCTTAATTTTGTGTGCGTAAAGCTACGTTTAGCGCCCAGTTATCCCAGACATCCGGTACAACCTGAATGTTGTGTCCGATACCCACGCACTGCTACAATTTCGCTTCGACGTCATGGGAATCAAGAATTTGGGCTACCTACTTGGTCTCCCGGCTGTGGTGATTACTACTCAGCACTGCCGTGCTTCCTGGGACGAAGCGATCTGTATTATGCTCGGCCGTCTGGCATTTCCAACTCGGTTCCACACCATGACGCAGACATTTGGGTGTTCACGGGCTGCTTTGTGCGCAACTCTTGTTCTATATAATTGGAAGAAGAAGGATGACATCGTCTTTGTCGTTGAAGACGCGGCGGCGCTAATGTGTATGCCAATTGAGAACTGCACCACCAGCCACTCAATGACGTGTCAACTTTGGTTGAAGGGTCGTATCGTTGTTGAATGACCAAGAACCGGCCAATCATATGCAGAAATCTCGGAACAGACTGCACTGCCAGTTCGTGAGATCTGCACTTTTCGCGGAATGGCTATATCGATGTTTGGGCGATGAGCAGGAGTTTTTCTGGGAACAGTGAAGGCTTTTGCTGGGGTGAACCAAATCTTCCATGAAATAGCTCATTGCAGATGCAATACGATGGTGATTGCAATGGTCTATCTTATGAGGTCTAAAGCCTCCTAAATCGAGAGCAGATAGTGTTCAACGCCACGTCGGTAGTCCCCACCATTGTCATTTCAATACAAATGTAACACGTATATTTATTTCGGGTTAAAATCAATACAAGAAAGCACTCCAGAGTATATTAATATGCGATGGAATTATATTATTATATGGCTGGATTTAACGATTTTCTGGCGGCACTTTGACTTTTCACACCTACATATTAACATTTACCCTACGCCTTTTTCGCGGACACTCATGGCTCATGGTGGCGTGTGTCTGTTTTCTGCTGACCATGTAGTATCATTTTTATCAGATGTCCATTGATTGCGAAGTCTGCAGTACTACAGCTGTACTCGAGTACCGGTAGTATAGTACTGTACAAGTATACAGCTTAACGTTGGTTAACGTTATATTTGGATCTCACTCACCCCCATTCGTCATTTGACACCTCCATAGTTTTATTGAGAGGTGGTGTTAGTGTATTGGGGGGTTGAGTCGGCCCACCCACTGTTCTACTTGCAAAACATCCAATGGTTGTTAACTTGCAAAGCACAATAATTGTTGGTAAAAAATGTTGGTCGCTCCACGCTGTGAAAGTATATCATGGACGACGTGGTGGAGTTTGCGTGAGTATATTGCACCTTTCTTGCTTTCCACGAAACCCTTCCCATAAGACTACTTGGAGTTTACGAAAGTATTGTCCGTGCCCCTTGGGGTATACGTATATTTTGCGCGGCACCCTCAAACTTGGTCATCGCCTATCAGATCGCATACGTATAAACTAGCATAAGCTGTGCGACGAACTGGCTCTATTTGCCTACATTGGCGCAGTATAGAGCCGGTTCTGCCTACAAAGTAGAATTATCTCGCAGTCGAAAAACAAAACTGGAAAACAGAGTAAAAGTGTTGATTAGATTATACAACCTGTCGCAATTTGCTGAGACGATTTTCACCTTCTCGCCGCAATTTTCTACCCAATTTATCAATCGAGGAATGTCTTACTTCGAAGTACTACAGTAGTAGTTGCAAGCGGAAGCAAAATACGTCGAAGTATGTATTTACTTCGAAGTTTCCGAAGGAGGTTTTGGCAGTCCCCATTATCAAGTTCAGGAATGCCTCCACTCGAAGGTTTCATTATTAACGGGGCCACATTGGGGCAATTAAGGTTTAAATTATTCGATCTATTTTTATTTTCCTAAAACTAACCATGTGTATATTCCTAAAACTAACCATGTGTATAAATATTACTTCGAAGTAACGTTGTACTAATAGTATCAGTTTTGTCCAATCCGAACGATTGAAAGAGATGCAGCTTTCGAACGACATGGGCAACCTTTGACTTTACGTTCATCAGGTTCCAGTAGCAGCATATCAATTCCCACCGATCCGTGTATTTTGATTACCTGATAATTACACTAAAGATGCCAACTGCGTTCCACCACATTATTCAATTTGCCATGAAGCACGCTTTTGAGGCCGCTACGTTCTTCACGCTCGTGTCGTCCTTCGTCACTGGTCAATCTATGCACAGCAGTGACGGCCGTGCACGAACCTTTGAAGAAGAAACTTTCATCCGGAACGATGCCGACACCAACCGCGCTTGCCACAAGCAAAACGACAACTATATCCCGTCCCTCAAGGCCGGCGAGTACTCGACCAGTGCGTTCCACAACTGCTTCCGCACCATCGATCAAATCTACGAGTTCACCGATACCTTGGTCGAACAAAACCCGACGTTGCTGAGCAAGTTTGCCATCTCCAAGACGTACAATGGGGCCACGATTTACGGGTTCAAGTTGACCAAGGGCCACTCGCAGTCCCTGTACTTTCAAGCCCAGCTACACGCCCGCGAATGGGTCGCGGGGTCGTCGATCCTGTTCTCGTTCGCGTCAATTTTGGATGACATTACCAATAACAAACCCACGGCCGCCGACGAGTACGACTTGTACTTTGTGCCAATTGTCAATATTGACGGCCTCGAGATCTCATGGTCGAGAAACCGGTACCAGCGGAAAAGTGCCAACGAAGTTGACTTGAACCGGAACTGGCCCACACCCATCAAGAACCCCAACCCCCCCTCTAAGAACAGCGAAACATACCCTGGCACGAAGCCGTTTAGCGAGCCCGAAACTGCGGGTATCAATACCTGGATAAAATCCAAACGCGACGAAATCCAAGGGTATTTGGACATTCACACGTACGGAGGGCTCATCTTGTACGCGTACGGAGACACTAAACAACCCATCGGCGACGGGTTTGACGAAAAGTACAAAGTTCTCTGCCGTGGATTGCAAAGCGTGATGGGGGCATACAAGCCAGAACCGGCGTACGAGTTGTACTTGGCGTATGGGGCGTTTCCAGATTACGCGTTCCGCGAGTTCAAGAAGCCCGCCTTGACGATTGAAATAGTCGGCACTGATTTTTCCGCACCCGCGTCGACCATCAAGACGCGCGGTC